GAGAGGTTAAATCATTATCCAAAATCAAATTAAATACAGTAAAAGCAATCTATCTATATATGGTACAATTATAATGGTAATATAAACGTCAACTGTAATTTTCGATGAACTTCGTAATCTTATTCAATCTCATTGACAAAATCCATGACATTAACGGTTATAATATAGCTCTGTTTGTGCAATGGCATTACAATCTGGCAAATCCAAACTAGGAAAACAACAAGCAACAACTATCTAGACATGAAAGCAAAAATGGAAAAGGAAAAATCGAGTTATAACAAGAAGACAAGGATATCCGCCGAACATTGCAATTTGCAAGAAAGCAAATAATTAAACAAACCACAATGCAATCGTGGAAAGGAAAATTTACACACAGAAGTACTAGAATAAACTACGTTCCAAAAAATAAAGAATTAATAGACTAAACTAGCATTTAAAATGGAACGTGATAACTTCACTAGTAAAACAACCACCTCAAGCCGCCGTGCAGCTCTCGTCTCTTCACCATGCTTTTCATCTGCTAGTATAAGCTCCTCGTCATTGTTTAGCTGTAGTCTCTGATTGCCCATGTCAGGAGCAAGAAGCGCATTTAAGACATGGATGAGACAGCATAAGATCCCAGAGTCAAGGAAAGGTTGTTTTTCGATAGGCTGTAGACATGCAAGTAACTTGTGAGCTATACCAACATATAATGCATCCATATAACTGAAAGCATTCAGTGTCTTCAACAATTATGTCCATTTTTAACTAAGAGATGTCAATAAATCACTTAACATTTTTCACCGCAGATTCTCGCGTTCAACGGAAATATTGCATATTATTGTGTTTTGCAAATGCACATAGGATATAACACTAAATTAGTTTGATAAATATTACTGAAAAACATTATACTACTCAATCCTGGGATTGAATGTGCTAATTTCACTTTTGGAGATACATAAATACCCCCGTCACTTTTTTGATATATCGGAGGGTGAAATCAATTCCTTAAAATTTACAGTTCCATTTATAAATAAGTCGTTATCATGAAGAAAAAGATCATAGAGAAAAGCCTGTAAGATGGAATCCCATTCGAGCCAAATTACTGAGACTGGGACGGAGAGTAGGCACCACAGCAATGAGTGAATTTAAGTTATTACGATAAATGGAAAGTGAAATATAAATTAATTTGTAAAGCAAAAGTATAAAAAGAATAGAAAATCATATGTTAGTACATTCAATATGCATACCCCAGATACAAGGACTTCAACTGCATGTAATAAATTTGCTCCAGGCCTGATGCCATCCTGCTCAGAATTTAAAAAATTAAAAAAATTAAAAATAAAAAAAAAAATTAGCGACACGATAAAGAAGATTGAACAAGAAATGGAAACAGAGAATTTTTTTGCATATATAATCCAAGGAAAAACCTTTGTGATTGTAGAGAAAAAGTTCAAAACTCTCTCAACTTCCAAAGATCTTGTTTTACTGCTAAGTTTCAACTTTTCAATATCAGTTACAAACGCTCTTCCCACTACAAAAGAGAATATATGTGTCTCTACTAACCTGCAAAATGATAGTTAAGAAATTAACCTCTCTATTTCACCATGAAAGCGAGAATTCCAATGGAAAGAATTTAAGGATGAACTTAAGAAAGTTGACACGTATCTTACGGGTTATATTATACATGAAAACAAAGAGTTACTTATTGTGATAGTAACAAATACATAACTTTTTTGACGTTGAATGACTCAAATACCTTTAATGATTTAAAACATTACAAACATAGTAAAAGAATTATTTTAAATTTGGTCCTACTTTGTTTAGGTTCTAATTGACTTAACTATAAAAAATATAAACGATAACATAATAAAAATGAAATGATTTCATTCCGCGGAAAAAAACGTCAGCTGATTTATTAAAATTGAAAATAACTTAATACAAACATTTTATTATTTAATTATGTTCTAAAAGTAAATTTTTGTTATCTAACATAAATGTTAAGTATTGAATAATTAACTAACAAAATAATTTAGCACCAATATGATCTAATAAAGACCACCTAAGCCATTGTCAAATAACCTTATAAAACTAATTTGGTGATTTACTAAATATATCGAATATTATACTTAATATTCATCCAAAACATTAAAACACATTCTCATCAAACTTTGGAGGAGAAAGTGTTCCATTGTTTAATTCTATAAAACAAGCCAAATGTATTTTCCTTCATTGACAATTTCACTCTACTCATGTGCAACTATTGATAATAAACATAGAGTTGTTTATAAGTTAGTTTATCCAAAAATACACGTGTGAGAAAAGGTTGTAAATTCCAGTATCTGTAAAGATATACTCGTTAGGTTTTCTAGACGGGGAGTACATTGTTCATCAAAAGAAAGCACAACTATAGTGATCCTGGTACAAAATAACCAATTGTGAAAGACAAATGAAATCTC